TTTTGTAAGAGCAACTTTTCACAGACGAGAAAGTTTTATTAAAAATTTGAAAAAAAATATAAAAACGTATCTGACAGTGCATCATGATAACGAAAGTATGTAAATTACCAAAGTATCAACGTTCATATAATATCTAGTGTGTGAAACAATATTCTATATCTTATAGATATATCTAATCTAGTGATGATCTCTGGTACTTGTTCATTACGTATCCACACAAACATAATTGCACTTGTGGAATTTCACGTTAAACATTGACACAGCAGCGCGGATAAGTTCAATTTGATCGGCCTATACAGCAACTTTTTTCATTACAAAGTCCCATAAAGACAGTGAACAACTCTGCACGAGTTCACTTGCACATCACTATCGTCCATCACGATCCATATTATCGCGAAACTCGAGAGAAGTCAGATCGTTTTCGAAGTTTGCGCAGATCTGAAAATTATTTGGGGGGACAACAAGCGAAAGTTTCGCCGATGTTTTCAATTGCTCGGAAAAGTTTTAAAACGTCTTGCATCCCCGTTGCAAACGTTCGCCGAACTTCTCGGACGCTTTAATAGGTCCACGGAATATTTCACGGATCCCGTTTCTCTTTGCTCTCTGCCAATGATTACACTTTCGGTCGAGCGAATTCACCACGCCAACACGGAACTTTGTATGCACCAGACAAAAATCGAGAAGCTTGCACACGATTTCGAATTAACGAGGAAGAACGTCGTTCGTTCTTCGATGCATCTCAATTTCTCCGCGACAAATTATTAACTCGAGATATCGATTCAAACGATAACTCTTCTTACCGAGTATTCGCGAGATCTTCCAGAATGACAGAAATGATCATTTAAAATAAATTGTTGATTAAGTTAATCGCTTATATCTTATAAAATGTATTATTTATATTAGGTGAGTAACAAGAAAGTTTATATTTTTGTTTTGAAACCATAAGAGTATATATTCTGAACTTTTGGAATAATTACTTATGCTATTTGTGTCATTTTATAGGACTTTACTATGTTTCAAGTATTATCTTATAAATATCATTAATAGAAAACTACTTAAAGATATTATCCATTATCTAATTTCAATCAAATTGCTGAAATTGGCATTAAAAGAGTATAAAAATGGGCTGATACATGTGCAAACGTTTAACAGAAGAATCCATTGCATTAGATTTCTTGTACATAGCATACCAATAGGAACACTTCATTTGACAACTACATGTTGCAAATAACTTTGTCTAATTATTGTTTCCGCCGTAAAAACGTGTTCCAATTCGACAAGTTCGTACACTACAATGCACACTAAGTTAAACAAAGAGACAGCATAGATCTATAACACAGCTCAGTTATACTTAATACAGTAATATAACAATAACTATAATACGTAGTAACGTGCAATATATCTTACAACGAATCTACACCAGACGCAACATCGAGATGTAACAATTACAGAAAGAAAGATGTCATAAATACGTATATATACTATCTCAAGGTCACGTGCACTGATTCAAAAATATTTAACATAAATAATATATTATATCATTTATTTCATACAACCTTAGTTACTTCGAAACCTTTGGTTCTTTACATAAATACGTTATGCTTTTCTCATTTCTTCGCTAGATTCGTCGCTGGATTCGTCGCTAGATTCATCGTTGGATTCGTCGCTGGATTCGTCGCTGGATTCTTCGCTGGATTCGTCGCTGGATTCGTCGCTGGATTCGTCGCTGGATTCGTCGCTGGGTTCATAGTTGAGTTTGTTGCAGGGTTCATTGCTAAATTTGTTTCTGAATTTGCCGCTGGTTTCATTACTAGGTTCCTGAGAAGATTCTATGCTGCTAGGTTCCTCAGATGATTCTGTACTATTAGGTTCCTCGGAAGATTCTGTGCTGCTAGGTTCCTCAGAAGATTCTGTACTATTAGGTCCCTGAGAAGATTCTGTGCTGCTAGGTCCTTCGGTAGGTGCTGCACTGGACGAAGAATTTTGGCAATTTACATTTTCTGGCCAGTCGCAAACTCGTAATTCAGGGTTGAAGAGAAGTCCCTTGCTGCAGTTCATTAAAAATGCTACACCTGCGTTGCAGATGTAATATGTTGCGCAGTCCTGTTCATTTGGAATTAAGATGGTATCATTCGTGTTCTCCACCGGGCACTTTGGTGATGCAGAAACAAATGTCAGACTGATCACGGCAATAGCCACTGCCGCACACACTGCTGAAAAAAGATTTGTCGAATGTTTGTTTCATGTTTCATCTTATTGTAACTTATTGTCGAGGTCTCGCGCATGATATGAACGATTTTACAATCAATTAGTCAGGAAGCTTGAAGCTAATTAACTTTATTATAGAAGCATTGAACACTCAAGTATCTATGTTGGTTACACACGATTATATATCACAATAAAACTCACGTGTTTAATTTTGCTTTGTATTTCCTCTGATAGAGATTCTAGTAATGAAATTAAAAAAAATTACAAAATTAAGCGATGCGAGTGACTTAAATTTTTGAGTAATACTAACACAGTAACTACAATAATATATACAATTCCAAAGTATAAAGTATTATATACAATTCTATATTCTACATTTTCACACTTTTTATTCCATTTAGTGCTCCAAATTTTCAAAATTCTACACCCTAAATTTTTAATTCTGAAATCTGCACTGCAAATC